AGGTGAGCCCTTGCATGCGATCCCTGCTACTACAGTTAGGGGAGCCCTGGCATGTGATCCCTGCTACTACAGTTAGGGGAGCCGTGGCATGTGATCCCTGCTACTACAGAATGGGGGGGGGGCCTGGAATGTGATCCTTGCTACTACAAATAGGGGAGCCCTGGTATGTAATCACTGCTACTACATATATGTGAGCCCTGCTACTACAGGTAGGGGAGCCCTTCCATGTAATCACTGCTACTATAGATAGGGGAGCCCTGATATGTGATCCCTGGTACTAAAGTTAGGGGAGCCCTTGGTATGTAATCACTGCTCTGCTACAGATAGGGGAGCCCCCTGGTATTTAATCCCTACAGTTATACTTTCTCTTTTACATTACACTTGAAACAAGGCATAAAATATCGTTTGACGTTTGCTTTTTTCATTTCGCTCGATCTATCCATCCATCCACCTATCCATTCATCCACCCATCGATCCATCTACCACCCAACCATCAAGACCCCCCACCCCACTCCGTGAAAGGAATTGAAAACCAAAATTGTATTTATGGAGTTATCTCTCGTGAGTTTAAAAAAAAATTATTCGGTGCTTCTCAAACTAAACTGCAAATGAGATCAATTCAACCATGTATACAGGTTTTAAATGCGAGCCATATCAAGGCAGCAGTTTGTATCGGTGTTCTCTGCCAGCCATATCAAGGCAGCAGTTTGTACCGGTGTTCAGTGCCAGCCATATCAAGGCAGCAGTTTGTACCAGTGTTCAGTGCCAGCCATATCAAGGCAGCAGTTTGTACCAGTGTTCAGTGCCAGCCATATCAAGGCAGCAGTTTGTACCAGTGTTCAGTGCCAGCCATATCAAGGCAGCAGTTTGTACCGGTGTTTAGTGCCAGCCATATCAAGGCAGCAGTTTGTACCGGTGTTCAGTGCCAGCCATATTAAGGCAGCAGTTTTTACCCATGTTCAGTGCCAGCCATATCAAGGAAGCAGTTTGTACCAGTGTTCAGTGCCAGCCATATCAAGGCAGCAGTTTGTACCGGTGTTCAGTGCCAGCCACATCAAGGCAGCAGTTTGTACCGGTGTTCAGTGCCAGCCATATCAAGGCAGCAGTTTGTACCGGTGTTCAGTGCCAGTCTGAACATACACCCCTACTTTAAGTGAGAACTTAACGGCCGTATAAGGCTGGAACACATTGGCAGTACGGATGACATCTTGGTAGTACGGATGACATCTTGGCAGTAGGTATGACATCTTGGCAGTACATATGACATCTTGAGAGTACGGATGACATCTTGACAGTACGGATGACATCTTGGCAGTACGTATGACTCTTGACAGTACGGATGACAGCTTGACAGTACGGATGACATCTTGGCAGTATGTATGGCATCTTGACAGTACGGATGACATCTTGACAGTATGTATGTCATCTTGACAGTATGTATGACATCTTGGCAGTACGGATGATTTGAACCAAATGATAGATGGACATAAGATATTCGAACCTGTTGTTCAGTGTTGTATATAACCACAATTCAATGTTGATAACTGAATAGAACCCCATTCAGTTTAACAATGTGTAGGACAGACCATCTATCGACAATGTGTTGGACAGACCATCTATCGACAATGTGTTAGACAGACCATCTATCGACAATGTGTTGGACAGACCATCTATCGACAATGTTTTGGATAGAGCACCTATTGACAATGTGTTGGATAGAATACATATTGACAATGTGTTGGATTGAACACCTATTTACTATGTGTTGGACAGAACACCTTCTTCTTCTTCTATATATTAAGGGCCCACGATCAATTTATTGATCATTTTAGCTCCTATGCATGTAGAGGGGATTTGCAATGTTTCTGTGCCTGGTGATGATGAGGATATTTCACTGATTGCAAGTGCCACTTAGTGAGGGTATCATGCACCTATTGACAATGTGTTGGGACCCGGGTCCGAATAGCGGCGATGCGTTTCCGGTTCATATATTTACTAATTGCCATTCGGATGTCATTTGTGGTAATTTATTTTAGTTAAACTTAAGAAGTAAGTTTACAAACATATAGTCCATTCAAATATCTTTCATTTAATACCAAAGTTTGTCTTACAAACCCTACAATAATTTTTTAAAATTTTTAAATAACCCAAACTCTCACTTCTCGGACCCGGGTCCGAATAGCCGCTGCCTATCTAAAAATGATGGATAGAAACCAATTACGCAATTTGCCTAAGAGCAGTATTAAATTTAAGAAGAAATTTAATATAATTAAACCAGGAGATAGAATTCATCTCATTAATAAATTTGCAATAATTCTATTATGATTCTTGGAACTACAGATGAAATGTGCTTATGTTCAACCTTTGAAACGCTGAGTCGAAACTGAAATACAATAGTCGTTGGGGGGAGTAAATAATAGCGTCAAAGAAGGAAAGGCGTATTCTGGAGATCTAGTCTGTGCTGCAATAGGAGACCCTCTACAGCTTTTAAACCAGTTAAAGTCAATAGTTGCGAAAGATCATGTAAGGGACACAACTATTTAAACGTAAACCAACAATATGTTATAGGGTTACACCCCCTTAACCAGAGAATACGTCGTTTTTTTGCTCTTTTTCTTTCATGCCTGTTGGAATTGAATATTGAGTGAAATCTCCAGCGATAGAATTGTTCTTATCAGAGGAAAATGCTGTCAGTTACATGTGTCTACAAGCTAAGTGTGTCTGGCTCTGTATAATATGCCGTCCAAGGCTTCTACTTCTTTGCAAAAAGTCCAATTTGTTTTTGTTGTTTTTTTTGTATTGTTTTTCTTCAGGATTCCTTTTATACTGTGCTTATTTCTTATTGCATCAGGAAAACTCAGGGTATGGTACAAGCATGGGAAGCGGAAGAATAATTTGTAGCGAAGTGCACCTAGACATAATAATGTGTAGTGTTGTGCACCAAGACCGTAAGATGTGTAGTGTGGCATATCAAGACAGTATAATATGTAGTGCACTAAGACAGTACAATGTGTAGTGTAAGGCACCAAGGCAGTACAATGTGTAGTGTAGTGCACAATGACAGTAAAATGTGTAGTGTAGTGCATCATGACAGTACAATGTGTAGTGCTGTGCACCAAAACCGTATAATGTGTTGCGCAGCATACCAAAACAGTATAACTTGAAGTGTAGTGCACAATGACAGTAAAATGTGACGTGTAGTGCACTTAGACATAATAATGCCAAAGTACTGAATTAAGAATTAATTAACAACTGATGACATCTTTTAAAAAACTACCAAGTAACTTAAGGTTGTTGTTTGTTTTTTTTAGGAAAAGCTGGTTTAAAAAACAATATATATAAAAATAAGAATCAATATCAATTAAGCCTATTGCCGCTAATATACTACATTATAGTCTGATAACTACAACAAACTGGGTGAAAGGAAGAGGAGTGTTGGAAACTTACGGGAGCATTACAAATCGTACTCTCCGCTTTTGGAACTATCAGCCTTTCGCCAACTTCAGTTTGTGCGAAGAACAGAAGAACATGGCGTGGGGGGGGGGATATATTTCTACAGATAAGTGAGAAAGCTAGGAACTTTTGGAGTAATCTCTGGCACTGAACGAGACTTCTGATCCCTCGATTAGTCACAACTTCTCGTGTTACCACAAAGGACGTAAAGCATTGAGAAGACTGACCGTTGTCTTGCACTCGGGACCATCATGCCATCATGACGGATGATGTTGGTGAACTTGTCTGGGCATCCGTACTTCTCCATGATTTTCCACAGGCCACCTCTATTGACCCTGTCAAAAGCCTTACTCAAATCGATAAATGTGGAATACAGGTCTGTATTTTACTCCTGACATTTCTCTGGAAGCTGTCCAACAGCAAATACCATATCGATCGTACGCGTTTTTTTGCGGAAACAGCATTGACTTTCAGGTAGGAGACCTAGCTCCAGATGTGCTTCCAGGCGGTTCAGAAGGGCTCGGGCCAAGATCTTGCCTGCAATGGACAGTAGTGAAATTCCGCGGTGATTGTCGCAGGCCTCGTGGTTTCCTTTGTGTTTGTGCAGGTGGATAATCGAGGCATCCTTGAGGTCTTGTGGTACAGTCTCCGTCTACCAGATGATCTGGAATAGACCCCATAGTTTATCCGTCGGCGCTGGTCCACCCTCTTTGTAGATTTCGGCAGGACCCATGTCGGAGCCAGGTTCTTTGCCATTGGACATTTGACGGAATGCTGTCGGTATCTCGACCAAAGTAGGGACGGCGTCCATTGACTTGTTCTTTGGGAACTGGGGCAGTCTTTCAACGGCCTCATCATTAATGTTGGAAGGCGAATTGTATTTACCGCTATCAAATGTTCATTCTGTACTTACTATGTGAAAGTTTGATGGTTGACTATATTGTATTATATTCAATTGCAATGTCTTCATATATTTTACACTGAAACTACGATCACTGTATTGTGGCGATCAGCACTGGTACTGTACCCTAGTTATGGCATATGTCTGTACCCTAGTTATGGCAAGGGGGGGGGGGGCGAAGGGGTGGTTGATTTTTTTTTTTCGTGGTTGGGTTTCACGAACCCAAAACTTACGACTTTGGGACTTACGGACTCTAACTCTTAGACTAATAATCACTTAAGTTTAAGGCTTAACTTAAGGCAAGGACAAATTTCTACGGACTGTCCTTAGCCTTAATTAAATTTACGAACGGTTGACAACCCTGGTTAATGTATACTTTATATTTTAAAAAAGCTATATAATATTGCTATCAATAAATTTTAAAATAATCTTTATTTATAGTTTTTTTTTTTTTATAAGCACACAATTATTTATAATTTATGGTATTTTATTTTTATCTTGGTTTAGTCTTTTAAGTCTTTGGTCAAGAAGACTTCCATTTAATGATATGTAAAAAGAAAATCTATTGGCTTACAATGTGATCTTAACCAACAGATAATCGTATAACATGATTATTCCCGTTGCATTTTTCACAAAACTCAACTTCCCAACCGTTTGTTACAAGATGGCGGATCGAGGACCCAGTATTTTTGATTTTCCAAGTTTGTTTCAAACGTAAGTGTAAATTACGAATAAAGGAGTCGCATTATTCATAGATCTTTGGATTATTGTGTTAAATTTAATTATGTTCCTAAAGTATTAAGGTTCATCTGCATGATTTCAATGTTTAAACAAATAAAATATAAAAGCCTACTCCATTCTTTAGTTCAGTGGCAGTGGTGAGTGATTCATAATCGTACACTTACTCAGACTTTCTGACTTAGTCATGGGCGTAGGTACTTTGATAAAAAAAAAAAATTGTAAAAATAAACCAATGGCATAGTTGAGTAGAGCTAATTTTGTACAAAATTCGAACACCAAAATCATATTTTTAGCTGTTGTCATATTGGTAGACTAGGACTCAAAATAATTTTAATAATGTTAGTGTTAGCAATTATAGATAAATTGTAGCTTATCTAACTATGCACTATTTATATCAGTTAATTTAATATAATGTATTAATATATGGCTTTTCTGTTTACCAAATCTACGACGTCAAATACCGATATATGATATATATTATATAGTTAAGTTATTATAAAATACTTAGAATACAGTCTATATAATAAGGCAACTCATGCCCAAACTACTAAAATACTGTTTGGGAACTATTGAACTTTCAACCTTGGTACATGACTAATTAATTAAAGCTTTCCCTGACCTAGTTTAATAGTTTTTGCACACGGCAAACTTTTATGAAGGAAAACTCTGAGATAGTAGTAAAAAATAGCCATTAAGGCCATTATGATAATGATTATGCAAGTCACCGTGAATGGCCGCCATGACATTTTGCACACAGCAAATTATGATCATTTATAATATGGACTCTCCCGGGTTTTTTACCCTCAAATTAAAACAGTATTCTTTCAATAACATTTAAGTTCATTCTAAAACATAAGATATCAAATATTTGATGTAAATAGTGGAAATAATTGAATATTTCCTAAGTCCTTAGTAACGGCATCTTCCTAAATAAAAAATGGGAAGGCCACTTCCTTATCAAAATTAGGGTGAGCTACATTACCATACAGGGGTTTACTCAAATGAGCATAACAAGTGACAGACATGTCCTAACTCAATGAGAATTGACACAAATACACATCGATAGATATTACAGAATAAGATTTTTTTTAAAGACATAAAAGTTGAACTTCTATATCAATTTTATAGTGAAAGATGCCTTATATCTAAAGGGTAATCTCAAAATACAGGTCGATTGAAAAATTAAAACAAATCAATGAAAATGTAGGCCAAGATGTCTACCTAAATTTAAGGCCGGAAACGGAACTCAAATATATGTCGAAAGTACTCATTTAATAATAAATAGACACACACATTGGAAAATTAAAAGCTCTGATTTTTGGGCGCCGATTTCCATTTTCGATGCACAAAAAGTAGTAGTCCCCCTTGTTTCATCGAAGTACCAACATTATGTGACCCAATCCCGCTGTTCGCATCACGAGGTATATTACTCTCTTTTTAAGTATAAGTTTAATCGACTTTTATTTTCAGAACTAATGCTGTATTAAAAAATAATTTTAATAATGTTATACAAGTATAGATAAATTGTAGCTTATCTAACATTGCACTACGTATATCATTTAATTTAATATAATGTATTAACATATGGCATTTCTGTTTACCAAATCTTTGGCGTCCATTATATCGGTATATGCTATACTATATAATTTATGAGGCAACACATCCCCTTATTACTAAAATACTGTTTAGGCGCTATTTATTTTGAACTTTCAACTTTGGCACATGACTAATTAATTAAAGCTTTCCCTGACCAATTATTTTTGCTCACAGCAAACTCTTATGAATGAAACTCTGAGATAATACTACTGTGTAGCCATTATGCAAGTTGCTGTAAATGGTTGCCCATTACATCATTTTGCTCACAGCAAACTATGATCATTTATTATATGGAATCTACTGGGTTTTTACGCCTCAAATTAAAATATTCTTCTATAAATTACTTCTAATTTTATTCTAAAAAACAAATTATAAATATTTTGATGTACATATTGGTAATAATTTTATAATTAAATAGTTCCTAAGTATCAGCTTCTTCTGCCATTAAAAAGAAGGTGCGTGTTCAAAATTGGACTGGAAGCCTTATGATAATGCAGGTTACTGGGGCAAGCATAATGAACGTCAGACACAACCTATGTCAATGAGAACTGGTACAAAAATAGATCCATATATAATTCTTATTAGAATTTAATATGAAGACATGATCATAAGTTCACAAACTTTTTAGGAAAAGATGCCTAATATATATATATATATATATAAATATATTTATATATATATATTTATGAATTTTGAAAGTTAAGGTCGATCAAAAAGACAAAACAGTACTTTGGAATGTAGGTCAAGGATACCACAATTTTTTATAAAAAATAATCCTTTTATAAACGCAAAAACACTGATGTCCTCCAAAAATTAAAAACTTGGATTCTCCTGCCACATTGCCCAAACAAGTTTTTAGTAGTCTCCCTTTATTTGCCGAAGTAGCTACTATACTATAAGCTTTGAAAAATACCAATTTCATCTTTCTATGTTTTATAGAAATAAAGTTATGATTTTTTGGGGGAAATTTTTATACACCCTTATTAATCTTTGTATTTAACTGTGAAAACTTGTGAAAGACTTTCCAAATTTCTACCTTATTTTGTCCACAACTTTTTAATTTTACAATATCATGCTACCTAATGTTGAGAAGACTTTCTCAGTGCAATATACAACACAATGAACAACAAAAATGTTTCATAACATCAAGACTGTATTTTGAATAATTTTATTTTCAATTATGTTAAGAAAAACGTGAACTGAAAAATTGGAAAAATCATTATTTATAAAGGAAAAAACAGACAAATAACATGTTTATTCATTTTAACTAATTAGATGCTTGTGTTAAATTTCAAATAAATTCTTATATTTATAAAAAAGGTAAGTAAATCTTTTTTATACAAAATTGAATGCATGTAATTATAAATGAAATTACTCAAATAACATCACCCATAAGATTAATCGAAGCATACCAGTATATGATTAAATTTAAAAGGTTATGGGGATATTCTTCCTGTCATTTTCTATTTAAACTGGTCTTCAAACTGCTTGGTCTTGTTGATGAATCTACAAACTCTCCTTCATAAACTTTTTATTTTTCATCTACATCCAAACTTACCTCCTTGTGGAAAATTTTTACTTGTAGCTGAAATAAGCCTAGAAATAACATCTGATCATATTCAATCATAATTCTGAATCTACTCAGTTTCTTATTTCTTGTTAATATTATTTAAGTTTTGTGTTTATTGAAACTTGTGTTTTTCTATATCATTAGCCGTACATTAACAATTAATTAAAATTTATATTTAAATACCTTATTATTTATTTAATTTCAAATACAAATTAGATTAAATTAGGCCTTTAAGCTCAGTTGTCAGTTGTAATAGAATAGTATTAGTTCATAATGCTTAATTTAGCACTTAGCTTAGACTTTGTCGACTTTGACCTAATTTTTAGTTCTAAGTATCAAGAATTCCTAGGCTTAGGCCCAAAAATATTAAATATAGTTAAATTGTAGGTCTAGAAATAGTAGGTGGAAGCAAGCTTAACTTAAATTTTGTGTGTGTTATTGCTTTCTGTATTCTAAAATTATAATTTAATTAGATTTAAAGATTATAGAATATTAAAATTCTCTTATTGATTGCTATCAAGAGCTGATTAGGTGATGGGCCAGGTTATGACTTGTTAAAGGGCTAACATTAAGGGAAAAGGGTAAATTGACTGTATCAAAATCATTCCCGATCCAATTAAAATGGTTAGCAAACGGCATTTTTATGCTTCCAATGATATTAAATCACTAAAAACAGTATTTGAGATATTTATAGCTTACCAGTAGTCAAAGTGACACAGCAACAAACAAAAAAACAAGGTTTCCCTCTTTGGGTAAATTCTTTGAGTGTGACTGTAAGACAAATATTTCTTGTAATCGATAAAAAAAAACTTTATGATTAGAAAACTGTACAGTAGAACGTAAAGTATCCAGTACACTATAGAGCAGATTGTAAGATGTCCAAGTAAGAATTTTTGTCATTTTAGACATGCGCAGACAATTTGCATAAGTGATCATCGTGATGCCTAACATGTATCATACAGATGATCATCCTACTAAAGCTCTGATCAAACGTAGCAAATAATTAATAACTTTATTTAGCTTAATTAAACATTAAATGATTTTCCCTATTTTAGGAATTCATTCGCGCTGTACCGAATCAATTTTAAAAAAAATATCTGGAAATTTTCAGACTGCCAATTTTCACACTTAGAATCTATGGACTTTAAGTTGGTCCATTTCATGTCTTATCATCGTTTCCAATAGTTCCACTTTAAAAACTTTTAAACCAACATAATGTAACCACTGATTTATTTTGGGAAAGGCATTTATCGAAACTTGACTCTACCTCAGTTCAAGTGGCATCACCATAGATTCAAACACTGATGAAAACTCGAAGGCTTGCATACTTGAGAGAAAAAAAGGATGTCTTAAGAAGAACCTTGTCATTGCATTTTTGAGGGGGTGTGGAAAGGGGGTGGGGGCAAAAAAAAAGCTGTTTAGTTTTACAGAGTAATTATAAATACAAATTTGTTTGAGTTGTCATGATACTGAACATAACATACTTACGAGTGAAAATAATATAAGTACATTGTGATCAGGGTATGAGTGAAACTTTAAAGTTGTGACATTCAAGCCCTTGCAATTACAGTTTTCCATCTAGTATGTCATAACCCTAGGCTAGGTCAAATGGATAGGATTAAAGTCTTAAAGGTAATAACTTATTCAATTTCTTTCCTAACTCCTTAAGACTTGAATATTTTTCTGCTTCCACTGAAACTTATAACTGAACATTGCGGCTCACTTTGGATATTAAATCCTTTTCCCATTAATCTAAAATATCAACCGGTTAAAATTTACCTCAAATCCTGGATCTTGATGGTATCAGGTAACATTGAGATATCCAAACAGTTTGTTAATGAGGGAAGGGGCTGGGAACTATAGAGGTTTTAGGTATAATTTAATATATATTTTAGTTTTGCTTTTATGTAAGAGACTTCTTAATTCTTAACATATATCAACTTCCTTTTTTTTTTTGTTTTTTAAATTTATGTTTCAAATTAAGTATTTCACTACCAGTATACTTACACAAAAAAAAGTTCAGATATTTATAAAGCTGTCAAAGAAAGATAATGTTAGCCATGTAAAATTAGAAAAAATTGAAGTGTCATTGCACCACACGTGATTGGCATTGCAACTAATGTTAACAACACATGAAAGCAAAAATAATATCTTTGCCAGTTCATCTGATTTCGATTTATACACTTTTCTATTTTTTGTCATACCGGTAGCACACAAGGGACTTTGTTCTCAGAAAGCTTAAATCAAATTTGACATTACTGCCCCCTAGGGACTTTATTTGTATTTATTTTCTTGTAGCTGGAAGGTTTGTGTGAGTGTGTGTTGAACGTGCTCAGAAACAAGTACATTGATCAATGGTTGCCATGGTTTCAAAGTACCAAGAATAAAATGGCCGGCATGTTGTTCTGTGTCTTGGTCTCAACTTGTGATTAAAGTTAATGCAAACATTTCAGTCCAGCTATATTGCAAATTGTATGATTGTTTGGTGTGATTTTTTTTGATGTGATTGTTTGGGGTTATTGTTGAAATGGTGGTCGGTTTAAATTCACTTTCTGTCCTTTCAGTTCCACTTCAGCGGTTATTCGTCACTTGAGCAATTATGAGGACAGTCTGTGGGACACACCTGCAAGCATCAAGCAAGCTCTTCTACGCCTTATGAGCAAAAGAGGCCTCATCACAGATCAGAACATTGATAAGGTTTGCATTTAAATGAGATGAGCAGTTGGTCAGCTGTGCAGATGGGATTTGATTTAGTTAACTTTAAAAAGCTTGTTCCATTCTTTAGTAACATTTTACAACTGTGCTAGGGGTGATGTTATTTATTGCTATTGTGCAATGTGTTTGAACTACATTACATCAGGTGCTCCACTCTCGACTGCTGTCGCTGGATCTAAGTAGCAGCAAAGTGACTGACCAATGCCTCTTCAAGTTATCTAGAATGAAACAGTTGTTTAAGATTGATCTCAACTCCTTCAAAGTACCTAATGAAACAATTACATCGGCAGGTATAATGAGATTTATTAGACCTTAAAATACTGCAGTAATAATCATTTAGTAGTTATGGAACAGTAATGCAGTGCAGTCTTTTACTTGATTGGTTAATCATTAAGATTAGTAACCTAGCCCGATAGTGCCACTTTTTATTATGTATTAATCTTATTTCAGGTATTATAAGTCTCTCCGAGTCCTGTCCCAATCTTCAAATTGTTTACTTGCGAAGGAATGTCAACTTGACTGATGAAGCTGTCCTAGCTTTGTCCAGAAATTGTCCTAGGTTATGTGAGCTTAATGTTGGTGGGTGTTTGCTGCTAACAGACAATTCTCTAGTGGCTTTGGGTGAGAACTCACATTACCTCAGGTCCTTGAACATCACATTAACACAGGTAGGTGGGCTAAATTTGCTGTGAGCATGCTAAAGTAGCATGGATACATGCTAAAGTAGCAGGGATACAAGCGCTATATAAGTGTTCAATCAATCAATCAATCAAATTGCATTTTATACGTATATCATGAGCAAGTCAACTAAAAATTGAATTTTATATCTATATTTTAAGATGAATCATTGGTTTTCATCGGCTTTACGTTAGACTGGACATCAATGTATAAACTACTCATTCCAATAAATCTGTTGATACTAAAGAGATGTAGTTCAAATTTAGCTTTATTTTAACTATGTTTTGATTGCTTTCATTAAACATCTGTGAGGATTAAGAGCTTTGCCTTTTCTTCTTGTCTCTTTCATGAAAATATCATAAGTATATACTTCTTCAAATAAAAAATCAAAGCCCTTCAGGCAGTTTAAAATTTAAAAAAAACTTTTAAACTATTTTCATCCAGCCTCCTTGTTGTGAAAATATATTAATTAAGAGTCACAGTGATTAGCGAAGTGGCTAATTACAGATTAGATGGCTCTTCTTTACAGCTATTACATGATTAAGAAATGAAAATAGTTTTTACAAAATATTTCTGAGTTGTAAAAAAAAAAAGAACACCATTTATTGACCTTCTGATTAATATTTGTAATCCTAAGGTCATAAATTTTGTCTTCATGCTTTGACCTGTCCAATTTGTTTCAATTCAGGTATCAGATTCAGGTATTCACAGTTTATGTCAAGGCTGTTGTTCAAAGGTGATAACAGTAAGTTGGGCAATGAAACCAATTTAGAAACACTTTTTTTTTTTTTTTAAGTAACAGGAAAGAATTTTGATATCAAGTAAGAATATGTTTAATGATTGGAAAGTTGAGCATCTTACTGTTGAAAATAATTTGGAAGAATGAATAAGCTGCTTGTTGTGTAAGATCATGACACAGTTCCAGATTTTGATATTGATAGTTTATCAAATAATTCAATGTTGGCATCCATTTGTAAAATGGGATAAGAAAAAGGGTATAAATTATACATGTGTTTTTCTAGTAGAGTTCCATTTTTTTAAATTCAATTTTGGAACTATGAATATTTGAGTTGAATGTTCTTGAAAATTTTTATCCACAAAACAATTTTAGTAAATAACTTTTATAGCAGTATGCCGCTTTAGCCCAATACTTGAAACATGGGTTGATAGACAAAACATAGGTTAATACTCAAAATATAAGTAATACACAAAACAAAGGTTGATGTTGGTACACAAAATATAGGTGGTACGCAAAACGTAGGTGAATAAACACAAAATTGGTTTGAAGCACAAAACATAGGTTGATACAAATACATATACAAATGGCTTGATACACCAAATGTTTACAACTTGCAATCAGAGAATTTATTTACTACATTTCTAGGTGATTAATATGTAATTGGATTTAAACAATTTTTTAATGAAAAATATTTATCTATAAATATTTTATATTTATTTTTCCCGGGTACAACAATGTGAATAGCCAAAAATGTCAGTGTAATAATGTTCAAAACAACATTGAATGTTCATTTTAACGAATGATTACAGAATGACCATTGAGATGATCTTTTGATCAGTTTATGAACACAAACCGTTTTAATGTTAAAATGAAACATTGGCGAACAAGATTGTTCGTGTGCTTGGCGGACTCTGGGGTCCAGCTTCATTTTAATAAGTACCAAAAACTATCCACAATTTGATGTCCATAATGAAATTATAAAGGATTGCTTTTGTTGACCATCAGGAAGGAATTTAAGTCAGGACATTGTGAGCCAAGGGAAGGGGAGATTATTTACTAATTGTACATTGCATTAGTGACACAGATAGTAGTCAGTTATTAGCATATAAAGAACACAGTCTGCTTGTACCACATCGGTTACATGTGCACTACATCGGTTACATGTGCACCATATCAGTTACATGTGCACATCAAAAGTTAAAAAAATGCTAACAATTTAAAAACATATTATCTATGTTTTACTCTCATTATAATTTGTTGTTTTTATAAAACTATGATCAAATGTCGTTTTTTAAAATAAATGAATGTTTTTATTAACAGATGTCCTGTAGAAATGAGATACTTTAATTATTGCTTGTCATAAAATACTACATGCTTAGGTCAAGGGCTGTGATTAGCCAGTCCTCATTGGTTTCAAGACAGCTCTAAAAATAGATGTGCTTATAATTGTTGCCAATGATCTAAGAATTTTAACGTCTAACATTAGGAAAATCAACTTTGGGAGTGTTTATTTTTAAAAAAAATGAGATTTCTACATTTGATAATTTGCTAGTCTGGAAAAGGGAAATCTTTGTCCTGTTCCTTGACATATTTACTGAGGAAAAGATATGTCACAGATTAATAAAGAAATTTTAACGATTTATTTTAGGAAATTGACATAAGCGGCTGTGGGAATCTAACGGATGATTCTGTAGAGATGCTCTTAATGCTCTGTCCTAAGATAAGGATTCTACTTTTTGAACGGTGTCCAAGCATTACAGGTAGGCTACTTTTTGAACGGTGTCCAAGCATTACAGGTAGGCTACTTTTTGAACGGTGTCCAAGCATTACAGGTAGGCTACTTTTTGAACGGTGTCCAAGCATTACAGGTTGGCTAATTTTTGAATGGTGTCCAAGCATTACAGGTTGGCTAATTTTTGAACGGTTTCCAAGCATTACAGGTATCGGTAGGCTACATTTTGAACGGTGTCCAAGCATTACAGGTATCGGTAGGCTACATTTTGAACGGTGTCCAAGCATTACAGGTATCGGTAGGCTACATTTTGAACGGTGTCCAAGCATTACAGGTATCTGTAGGCTACATTTTGAACGGTGTCCAAGCATTACAGGTATCGATAGGCTACATTTTGAACGGTGTCCAAGCATTACAGGTACCGGGGTAGGCTACTTTTTCTTGCACTTTCTAAAAAATGTCAGCATTTGACTAACTTGATTCTAAATTCTGGTTTATTGTAGAAATTCAGTCTCTACAATGTCGATGTAAGTTCAGAGAAATGAGGATTTAGCAATTCTTGAAGTGAAATTTGATTGCTATTTAGAAAACCTGGTCATGATAGAATTAAGTAAACTGTCACTGTCAAGGTCATTGGAATCATGAGTTAATATCTGAGCCAAGGAGGTTAAAGGTTTATACGTTAGTCCTTGAACATAAAATAAGTAATTAGAGCTCTGTTAAAGTAACTATTTGAACAACAGATCTATATAATAAGTAATTAGGGCTCTGTTAAAGTAACTGAACAACAGATCTATATAATTAATTAGAGCTCTGTTAAATTAATTGTTTGAACAACAGATCTATATAATAAGTAATTAGGGCTCTGTTAAAGTAACTGAACAACAGATCTATATAATTAATTAGAGCTCTGTTAAATTAATTGTTTGAACAACAGATCTATATGATAAGTAATTAGAGCTCTTAAATTTATTGTTTGAGCTACATATCTGGACTTATTTTCCAACCGTAGCTGATTGATCAAATGTTGTGTGGATGTCACAAAATTAGGGTGTGTGTATATTGTGATTAGAAGTGACAAATAGAGTGAAGATGAAATATGACTAGAGATGAAGAGCTGAAGATTAAATGATAAAATGTGACTATTGCTGAAATGTATGCAGGTTAGGGAACACCAATGTAGTCAAATGATATCACTAAGAAAACACTTGAGTCATTCTATAGACTAGCCTAGAGTAGAATAGACATTGTTAGCTAGAGTTGGACATGGTGTAAACAAACCAGTTTGACCCTGTTAACCTGGCGTTTGATGAGTTCTGCCGAGGTACTTTTGCCTCAATTTGACATCCCCCAACTACACCGACAATACTAATACACTGTCAAGAAACTATCCCCTTACAGCAACACACATTGGAGATGACACACACATTGGAGATGACACGCACATTGGAGATGAAACACACATTGGAGATGACACACACATTGGAGATGACACACACATTGGAGATGACACACACATTTGAGATGACACACACATTGGAGATGACAAGCACATTTGATATGACACACACATTGGAGATGACACACACATTGGAGATGACACACACATTAGAGATGACACACACATTGGAGATGACAGACACATTGGAGATGACACACACATTTGAGATGACACACACATTGGAGATGACAAGCACATTTGATATGACACACACATTGGAGATGACACACACATTTGAGATGACACACACATTGGAGATGACACGCACATTTGATATGACACACACATTTGAGATGACACACACATTGGAGATGACACACACATTTGAGATGACACAGACATTGGTTGATTGTTAGATTGACATTTGAACCATAAAGCCAGGCAATGAAGGGAAATTATTTTTTTTTATAATTAGGTATATTGTTTAATATTTTATTTCTCATAAATTTGTTTATTATTGATTTATTATATTTCTCATATATTTGTTAGGCTTTTTTGACTTTTTAAAGGTCTTTTGTTTTTCAAACCGTGACTCACGAACTAAAAGTAAAAGCACGAAGAACTTTGATGTTGATGTAAAGAAATATCATTTATTAATTGGTTTGATTCCAGAAAATTCCAGGCTAGCCCTGAACGAGAGGCTCATCTCCACACACGGAGCCAAGATGAAACAAGTTTCTTGGACTGTTTACTGAAAGACTTGTTGTCGAGACTCTTCACAAGTTATTGATCTGATCAGCATCTTAACCAATCTGTGATACATTGGAAATCTCAGCACATGGCCAAATTATTGAATGACAGAATTTTAAGACAGAACACGTCAAGACAATGGTCATTTTTTGAATCGACTTTTATAGACAGATAACAGAATTGATTCCAAAATTAACGTATACTTATAGAGAAGAAACGGACCAAAAAAAACAAAACAAATGAAAATAGATTCTTTGAATGAAATATCCAATGACATAATGTTATTTTGTCGTCCAATATTTGGTAATGTATTAGGTAAATAGCATAATGATTTCTTACTTTAAACAGCGGTAATTCACAACAATGTTAACAATTTAAGCTGATGTTGGTTAGTCCAAACAGCTAAGACCAGTGGCAGTTGTACATATTTGTTTTAACCAGGGACTTCAGTTTTCATAAAGGTGTTAAGTGAAATCATTGTTGAATGGCTGTAGACAGAATGGGAAAGGCAAGTTTCATTTGATCAGCAAGAACAGTAATGTAAATTAAAAAATTGCTAAAAACGCATTAAGTAAAGGACTTTGTGAAGAAGTTGAAGTTTGTAACAAATAAGATTGAATCTCATTTTTATTTGTTGGGATTTAAAAGTAGGTTACAGAAAACTGAAATAGGTAACCAAACATCACATTGCCTGGATACACTATGGGCGGGGGATGTCGTTTGACACTTTTCTTGACGTAGAAGGATGAAATGTTACTGAAGTGTCTTTAGTGTTAGTGTTAGGCTGAGGGTAGGGAAATCTGGGTCAGATTATTTAGATTTTTGTACTGCCTTAATAATACAAGGAGCTTTTCTTTGCTATTGTTCTATATATATACATAGTATGATTTGTACAAATGTTTATAGCATTACTTTATATACCATGACGATTTGGTTTATTTTATGTCAATTTTATTAATAAAATCTCAAGTGTTTTACTCGAACAGAGCATTGCTTTTGAAATATTTCAATGTGTTACTTTGGACATCAGGGTTGGTGCCAATTTGAAGGATCACTACATTTTATTGGTAACTCTAGGAATGTACTAAGATGGCCAACAATTATGGATAATTCATTCAAAAACAACATAAATGTCTTTTTTTTTTTTTTACATAGTTTAACATACTTAATATGTGCTCTTCATGACAATTAAGTTTCAGCATCTATTACCATTATCATTACATACTTTAGATCAGTGGTTCTCAACCTTCCTAATGCCGCGTCCCTTTTATACAGTTCCTCATATTTTATTGGTAACTCTAGGAATGTACTAAGATGGTCATCAATTATGGATAATTCATTCAAAAACAACATAAATGTCTTTTTTTTTTTTTTACATAGTTTAACATACTTAATATGTGCTTTTCATGACAATTAAGTTTCAGCATCTATTACCATTATCATTACATACTTTAGATCAGTGGTTCTCAACCTTCCTAATGCCGCGACCCTTTTATACAGTTCCTCATGTTGTGGCGACCCCCAGCCACAAAATTATTTTCCTTGCTATTTCATAACTATAGAGCAAATGTGTTTTCAAATGGTCTTAGGTGACCCCTGGGAAAGGGTCGTGCGACCAACAGATTGAGAACCCCTGCTTTAGATATACTGTTTCATTTTCATTCTACAACTTACTTGAGGTATGCTATTTTATTCTACAACAAACTTGAGACATACTATTTCATGCTACAACATATTATTTCATTCTACAAAAAATTTCACTCAATATTAATATTTCATACAACATACTATCCCATATTACAACATTCTTGCCTTGAGCAATTAGAAAATGACCAGCTTAAAGATACTGCTCCTAGAACTTGAATGTCTTAAGCTGGTATTGTTTGAAATATTCAACAAAGGAGACAGCCATGTAAGTACATATCTACCAATGCTATAACTGATTATAGCCCATACATAGTTCAAACATCGGCTAGGTGCTGCCCATCAATGTACTGCTGTAAGTAATGCATGTGCAACATTCATATTATGTCTGAAATGGTCCCCAAACAGCGGCTCTGGTGAGACTAACACAAGAGTCTAAACCATGTTATGCTTGGAATTGTTGTCATTCTCCACTACATTTGGCTGCCAGTCATTGGGTTGCCAGTCTCCACTTCATTGGGTTGTCAGTCTCCACTTCATTTGCTTCCCAGTCTCCCCTTCATTCTGTTGCCAGTCTCCACTTCATTCGGTTGTCAGTCTCCTCTTCATCTGGTTGCCAGTCTACACTTCATTTGTTTGCAGGTCTTCACTTTATTTGGTTGTCAGTCTCCACTTCATATGGCTGTCAGGCTCCCCTTGATTCGGTTGTTAGTCTCCACGTCATTTAGTTGTCAGTCTCCCCTTCATTTAGTTGCCAGTCTCCCCTTCATTTTGTTGTCAGTGTCAGTCTCCCCTTCATTTAGTTGCCAGTCTCCCCTTCATTTTGTTGTCAGTCTCCCCTTCACTTGGAATTTATAATTCTCAACAAAAAAAAAATGTTTGGATGAAAACACAAGAAGGCTCGAATATATTTTTATTAAAATATGACTTCCTACAAGTTTAAGAAATATCTCGGGTATTAGTAAGTGTATAAACCCATAGTTGGGGAGACTTTTGACAAAACTCTTGAAGGCATATATCTGTTACGGGCAATGTAAATAATTGGGCATTAATTTAAAAAGTGCTCAATGGTATGTGACAAAATGATAAATTATATAGAAAATATTACATTGCCCGGGAATTATGAATAATGCTGGAAATCGAGTGGGCAATTTGAGAAAATTTTTATTCATATTTCTCTACATACAAAAATAAGAGGATATTATATTAAAACAAATTTTTAAATAACTAACAAATAGAGGGGAAAATGGTGGTGATAAAATAAGTATAAAAAATACGTACGCCTAACTAAAAAAAACAACATATTAGGTATGTACTTACAAATACATATTATGACATATACACACAAAATGTCAAATCTTAACAGTTTCTATTTATTAGAGCAACTTCCACTTTGGTGACATTTCAAGTTACATAGCTTTTTTTTCTTTCTTACACTTGTCAGATTTACAGCCACATCGACTATAGCCTTTACCCCCAGTCTTGGAGGACATTCTTGCACATTCTCTTACCGGTACTGAAATCTCTGACTGAGGAATTTCTTCGGCATAAATAAACTTTTCATTACATGTTGTAAATTGGTTCCTAGCATAGAGTTGATTTAGGATTCCATGTTTCGTGCCTAATTTATAAAGATTGCCATCTGTTATTTCAAGAACAAATTCCAAAATATTTCTTCCATCGGTGCGACCTCTGTCGACATTCCCAGATTCTGGGACTCGAACTCTAACTGTGTCACCCTTTTTAGCGGCAGTGTATTTTGAATTAGAGGTTTCAAGCATTTTTCAGCTTTTTTTTTTTTTTTTTAAGATTGCTTGCTGAAATGTCCCTAATTTTTAATACCAAGTTTAATTTTTTTTCCACATTGGGATCCTCTGAGCAATCTTCATAACCTTCATACGCACGTTTTTCATGACCGGAGACTGGAATATCAGATGGCTCGTGACATTTATTTCTCTTTCGTTGTTATGGAAATCAGAACTTTGTTCAGATAACGAAGTTGAATCTTGAACATAACTATCAATAGAAGATAGTTCCTCCTCGTTATGTTGACTTGGACCTAGCTCCGCTAAAGAAAATGGTTGCAGATTGGCCAGCGAGACCATACGCACGTTGCCAAATTGCTGACAATTAATTAAAGTGACCAGAGAAATAATACCAGTATTGATAATGACCGGGCAATGTAATAAATTATCCTAGATTGTCGTGGACAACTACAAAGTTATTAACTTGCACGATTTTATCGGTCATTATTCATAATTAAATAATCAAATTGCCCGTAACAGATCAATTAGACACAATTTGTGTCAATCAAACAGTAGGCCCCTGTATGTTCAGGTTTAATGGTGATTTAACATAATTCAAAAAGTAAACGTTTCGGCAAATGCCTTCATCAGTACAACAACAATACATTTAAATAAATATAAATTAAAGTTACATACTAATAATACATATATATATATATATATAATATATTTAAATACATGTATCCTACCTAAAAATAGAAAAGAGTTGGCGCTAAACCCAGAAAAAAAACAAAAGTAAAGAATAAAGCAAAGGAAGTGAGTGGAAGTAAAATGTAAAAACCAGACAGGAAAATAGACATGGCAGCTGCGTAAAATTGTGGATTTGGTTTAAACCATATAGAGTCAACGTACCAAATCTTGGTATTAATTTTATTTTCCACCTAAATCCTATCCGGTGTATTTTGTATTTGTACACAGTACACAGTACTCTTGAGGGCACAAAGTTATTTTTCTCAAGTAGCTGTAAATAAAACAATTAAATTATCCTACAGTCAATAAAACTACTTTCTTCCATCTAAATGACATACATTAAATACAATCGTAAATCGACAATTAATATTACATGATTATCTTAAACTTACTTACTTAAAATGATATATTTTTAATATTTTGGATTTAAAAATTGCATGCAGACCCACTCATGTGATACAAAATTAATACAAGTACTGAAATATGCAACAAAACAAAACAACTTTTTTTTAGAGCAATTTAATTTATTTAATAATTTACTTAGGGCCTTGTGCAAAAAAAAAAACAAAAAAAAACGTGATTTTCAACTCATATGATATGCAATAAATAGAGAAATGATACTGTTAGAAAATGATCACTGAAAAATATGTTAAGCCCTGTACCATCATAAGGCATCGTGAGATCTTCTTTCAGTGAGAACAAGATTACTACCACTGAGGATACCATTAGTGTCATGTAGTGCTGTCATAAGAGTCTCAACCTATCCAAACAGTGCTAAAGAGGTTTTTAAAAATAAATGTATTGTTGGAGATTTAGTGCTGGATCATAAATATAACATAAAAAAATAAATAAATCTTGGCACATACTGGAATATACAGTTTATATGCAATTTTATTAATGCTTTTTTTTTATGAGCAGCTTTTAAATATTTGATTTGTTTCGGTCCTTATTTATATCATCCAATATATCACTGGCATTCAACTGGTTTGTTGTTTTTTTTAAACACTTTCATTATATGCGGTCTTTTTCAGTCTAAATTTTAATTGTGAAATATCTGAAGTTTCTTGGTTGTTTTTTACCACGGACTTGGGGAGAACCGCAGGTGGCTTCCTACTTCTTTGTGCACCCTGTGGTGGAGTTCTGGTACGATCAGTGCCGACGTTGTCATTGGCACTCTGAACTGGTGTTTTGGGACGATCGGAAGTGATGTTTTCAGGTACACTTGCCCCAGCACCGATTAAACTACTCTCTAAAACCTGAGGGCTAATATTGAAAAACTCTGCTGAGTTTTCATACAAATCATCGTGGTCTGAATTCTCGGCATCTACCGTGGAGTCCAACTCGATCTGTTTCTCAAGTTGGTTAGTGTCCACGTTGCTGGCCTTACGAAGGACGCGTTTTAAGGCAGGCGAGTTCTTGGCAGGCTTGGGGAAGTCAGAGTTGGCAGGCGAGTTCTTGGCAGGCTTGGGGAAGTCAGAGTTGGCAGGCGAGTTCTTGGCAGGCTTGGGGAAGTCAGAGTTGGCAGGCGAGTTCTTGGCAGGCTTGGGGAAATCAGAGTTGGACAGCGTGGAGATAGCAGAGTTACTTTTCCCGGTCTTGAAGAGAACCGGAGTTTCTGTCTCGGCGCTGTGTTCAGGCTCTCTCTTGTGATGGGGTGACTTCCCTTTACTTTTATCCGGCTTTGGTTTCGCAGCTGTAGTAGGAGGATGCCCTTGACGGGGAGCATGTGGGTATGAAGGCTGCTCTGCAGAATGACCAGCCTCCCTTAAAGACTCATTTAATTTCTCAGTGAAAAACTCAGACGTAGGCGACAGAAGACTTGGGTTCTCCATGTTGATGTAGTTCAATTGTTCCTCGTCCTCTGATATATCGTCATCACACAATCTGCCATCTGGTTTCTGATTTGGCGTTAACTGGGGCACAATTTTATCAA